ATCTGGCTATGGTTCCTAACAACAAGAAAAGGTTTCAGTTGTGAGGACTTGCATTAGATTCCCTATCTGACGAAATGTCTTGGATAACCTAATAAATGTCATTTTGCGCGGAGTCAGCACACGCGGCGTAACACCAAACTATTATAACAGTAAAGCAAGAACCTTAAGTAAAAGAAGTCAGAATTTGGTTGAGAAATTACTATTTACTAGCATTAAAAATTTAAGTTTCACAAAAATCTGCAAAGGCAGGTAATGGCAATATTAAGAATCACGGATCCAACATGAAATATAAATCTTATTAAGCAGGGAATCTCAAAAAAGCTTCAAAGTAATAGAAAATATGTACAAATACAATATTTAATATTTCGAGAAACGTTCATCCAGATTTAAAATGGCAGTAAGTCTGTGGGACATTGAGGTCACCAAGTTATCGATAGTTGTTTGTGCAATGTGAGTAGTGAGAATATAATCCAATTTTTCTTTCGTAGAAAGTTTTTTGGCTTAAGATCAAAGTCTTTTGACAATTGCAAACAAATTTTCGATTGGATTCATGTCAGGGCTGTTGGAATGAAAATAATTTGAAGACTGCACGCGGAGAGGCTGGCTGTAGTCTAAAAAATTATATTACACTTGTAAATGTGATCAAATTCATACCTCCTTTGAACGGTGGAGTGGAGCGTTATCGTATAAAATAATTGTGTTCATTTTGCACCGATTGATGCCGTTGTAACAGAAAGCATCTTTAACGATGTTTATGAACACCCTGCTGTAAATGCTGTCCACAATGGACCGCCAAATTGGTCGCTCGCCGAACTTAATGGCCATCCAAACCATTAATTTTCGGCAGTTCTTGAATGTTACTATCGGCGCAGTATGTTCCTTCGGAAAGTTCTTTCCGCATATGACAGGCTGCGGGGCTATACCCCCACCTAGGACGGGGATTTCAACCAGTTGACCCCCGTCTTGGAAAAAATTTGCGCTTCATGCCGCCTTACTCTAATCCTTTTTAGCCCCATTTCCTTCCGCCTCCAAGCCTCCCAATTGGTTGTTTCGTGAAAGCACAAGGCGCGTAGTGTGGAATATGGATAATTTATTAAGAGAAAACTATTTTTAGAAAATATAATATGTACAGTAATTTTTCGGACTTTTCACTGTTCATTCATAGTATCATCCTGATATTGTGAAGGGGTTGCTTCAGTTATAGAAGGTCCTCATAATGCGAAGAGCCTGCTTCATATTCGGCGGGTTCCTATAATAACAAAAAACGCAATATTAGATACGTAACTAGGTACTGCACAAAATATAGAAAAAGCACCTGAATTAATTTCAAGCTAGTAAACTGCACTTTAATAGAATGTGACAATAGTCTCATTTGAGCGGGTCATGCGGCAGCAGGCAGTGTTATATGTAGCGTATACGCCTATACGTACAGTTGATCACAGATCTGATGAAAGGTTGGGATTGGGGGATCTAACACAAATTTGAGGTAGTTTATTTAGTTCATTGGGTTGACTTGAGGCGCAAAATGCTGTTTACTAGAA